ACTTTATCTTCTGCATGCAAACGACTGCCGTATTTAAAAAAATGGTATTTTTGTGATAAAATTTTCGATTTAAAATTTTTAACTTAAAAATGCTATAACTTTTCGAAAAAAATAAGTAGCAGCACAAATTTTTTTTTTTCTAAATACATTATAAGTACATCTTTTATTTAACATACTTTTTATTAAAATTAGACAATTTCCACATATATAGGGGGCGATCAAAGCTTAAAACATTGTATAAAAATTTGAACTTTTTCAACTTAACTTTTGAAAATGTTTCGGAAATATTCACAGTTTTATGTAATCTTAAATTAAAGCTTATATTATATACTTTTACTATGAAAAAAAAAAAATTCGAAATATATATTTTCTTCTGCCGAATCGGTAACACTTTCACGCTTAGGGTACGAGGTTCGAATCCGCCTGTGGCAATTAATATTTTGCATTTTTTTTAATTAGAAAAAAATATTCAAATCATTTGATTTTTATCTCATTTAGATTCAATAACTTCAATAATTATCAAGGATTCCATCACTATAGTCTCCCCTCATGAGAAGAAATTTCTTATTCATGTTAATATTATTTTACTATGTGGTTTTTTTTGTGGCTACGATTTATTTTGCAAACTCTCACTTGACCTACTTTTTTCAACGATACGTTATATGATTACAATTCGTATTTAGTTGAAGATATTACCCTTAAAAATTGAAAAATATACCTTATTCAAAGAAAAAAGTAGCTTAACCAGCTTTTTCCATACAAACAATTAAAATCATTCATTTCTAATATTTTTAAAGTATTTATTGACGAATTAGATTTGATATGATAAAAGTATTCAACTACAAAAGTAAATAATTTTACTTAGTAATTTGTTAAAATGATTTTTAGTTTCACCTGAATTTAACAATCAATTTTTGCAATGATAATCAAAATTTATAATTCGCTCAATTGAGTAGATCTTTTTAATAACTTTATTTTCATTGGTTCTTTTAGTTAAAGTAAATCATTTAAATTAATTAAATTCTGAATATTCCCATTGTAGAATCTTTTTAAACACCAAAAATTAATTAGAAATGTTTTTTATTTAAGTGATCTATTACGATAATAATGTAAAAAAAATCGAACTTTTCTGATAAATTTACTGTAAATAGTAATTATAAAATTTGCTGACTGCACATTAATCTTAACAATTTCATTTTTTAGCTTCGATGCGAAGATGAGAAGGTATTAATTTTACTATGATGTGTTTTTTTTTTTTTTTGTGTGTCTGTAT